GTATCTTCTTTCCGGACCTGTCCTTTGTTTGCTGCAGAGGTGAGGGTCAGCCTTCAGGTTAGGGTCTGGGGCCGGTTGACCTGTGAATTTTTTGATACTTGCGTCAACCGATGTACAGCCTTGGGCACTGTGCTCGTGGGCAATAAAGACATGCCTTTTCTTTTTTTTTCAAAATGAAAAAACGAAATGGCCAAGTTTCTTCTTCCTGAAAAAAAAAAACAAAGGAAAAAGGTGGACCAAGCTCTGAACTCGATTGCGTTCAGATTCATCCAGGGCAGCCCGTAACTGCATTCAGGGCATCGCCACACCACTCTCGAAATGTGAAAAAGACAAAAATGTGGCGGATGCATTTGGCCATGTTATGGCGGGAAGTTCATTCTCATTTTGCACATTTCAAGAGTGGTGTGGCGATGCCCTCAGATACGTTCTGGAAAGTGAGAAGTAGAATGAATGCCCTGGAGCGAGATCCCACTACCGCGGTATCTGGAGTGTACGTGGATTAGTGTTTAAGGTGTGTGAGTGTCAGGCATCGTGGATTTGGCAGGAAATCAGCGGTAGCCTGTTTTTGTGAATTAAGCCCGGGAAAAGGATGTTTTTTTTTGCTCTCCCATCGGTAGGTTTTTCTTCGTTTTTGGTGTGGGGGTTCCTGTGGCGGTCCCAAACGTGCGTGAAATCGAGACCAACTTTTTTGGGTAATGAAATCACGCACGTTTCATTCACGGCGAAGGCAAAGACGAATGGCTTCATCGCTGGAAAATTGATTGTGGTATGGGAGGTGTCTGGGAGGGTTCGATCCCCTCGCCTACAGCAAATGGTGTATGGAGACACTCTTGCCCTCCTTTGCCAAAGAGAATTTATGTCAGAACAACCAAACAGCGTGCACTGTGGCCTAATCCTTGAAAATGGTCTGTGTGCTCACTCACATGCAGTCGTCTTGACTGCCACAGCCATGGTCAGTGAATCATACCCTGACATCTGACACCCTGACTGGAGCAGACATTAGCTAAAATGGTTCTAGAACCCGAATGGGAAGCTCGTTTTGAACCTCACTCTTATGGATTTAGGCCAGGACGTAGTTTTCAAGATGCCATGGAAGCTCTGGCTAGAGCCATTAGAGCCAAATACGAGAAGAGCATTTTCTTTTCTTTTTAGCAGTTTTTTCTTCATTTGTTTGCTCGTGAAATGTATTTTTGCGTTTATTTTCCATATTTCACGCTGCCACCCACCTGTCCCCCACCTGTCCCACACCGTCACACTAATACACATACATGGCTAGTTGGATCTCACTCCTGAAATGGAAAGGCCTGGCAGGCACTTGATTGCTCCCTGTCTCTCACGGGGAGTCACATCAGAAACAGCCGAGATTCTTCGTCCTAAACCTACCCTGTCTGGACAACCATTGGCTGCCGCTACCAGCAATCACCGCGGGTCTGGTCCTTGGCCTCTACAACACCCTGGGCTTTAGTTGATGTAGCTCAGTGGTTCGAGCACCGGTTGGAAATGCGCATTGTGGTATAAGGTTGCGGGTTCAAAACCCCGCAGCCTTGTGCGTGGACACCGGCAGGGCGTTAGATTGACGCACAGCTGGACACATGTCCCTTTGGGCCGACGCATGGTACTATTACAAACACTGCCTGCGCACCACCCAAGGGTAGTCCACGACGTTGTATGTTGGTTGTGGGTTTCACAGGGTTTGCTTGGGGTGTTGGTCTCGGGTGTTCTGATGTTCTCCCCAGTCACCACGGTGTTGTCTGTTGGTTGTGGGTTTCACAGGGTTTGCTTGGGGTGTTGGTCTCGGGTGTTCTGATGTTCTCCCCAGTCTGGCATATCACACGATCATTCCATTTCCGGTAGTTGCTCATATGGTAGAATCTTGGATTACATGTTACAAGGTCACGGGTTCAAGCTTGGTTCGGTCCTTGGGGGGGGTCCTTGTCCAGCTGGCCCGTTCTCTCCTCGATACATGATTCACAGAGTACACATAGCTTTCGGGCTTGCGAATTATATATCGCTTACAGGTTACATACACAAGGTTCCACACATGATACTGTCTACACAGATTCACAGAATATATACACAAAAAACAGGCTGGGGTCTACTGCCTGCAGTAGGTTCAGGTAGGTTGGATAGGGTGCCATTGGGTGCAGTTCCTACTGACATTCGGATAGAACTGTCTGGTGGCTATATATATGGAACCTGTAGTTCATTGTCTGGGCCTGGCGTCCGAAGTTCCCGTTCGACAAGGTTCGTCCGATTCCGCTTCCACCAGGGCTGGGCAATCTATCAGCCCTGGTGCCTATCACTGCTGTTCGGTCCAAGTTGCCTGCCCGTTGGTAGGGCAATGGTCCTGAGTGCTGGTCCCAAGGGGTAGGATAGTGGGATAGCGGGTGCGCTAGGAGTATTGACGTGAGGATGGGTTGGGAGGTGGTCTCATATTCCAGGACACCCACGGCTCACAGTTCCAGGTGATCACTATCCACACACTGACTGGCCTCTACAACACCCTGGACTTAACAAACAAACAAACAAACAAAAACAAAAACAAAACAGGCAGGTCGTGCTACCTCGTAACCTAGCAGTTGGGGGTGTGAGGCCTTGAAGAGTCTTGACATCGAGGAGGGAGGTTGAGGCCGGTTGAGGTTAGGACGGCTGAGCGTCATCCACCCTGGTTTGGTTTTGTTGGTTTCTTTTAGAAAGAAACTTTCCATAGTCTTTCAGATTTTAGTACCTTTTGGATTATGAAAAATGGTACACAGGCGTTGATCAGGATTTGGGAGTTTGTTTTTTGTGGAGTGTACTAAAGAGGAAGGAGGAGGGTGGTTTTGACCTGTTTAGGGCCGGGCTGATTTTGCGGGGCCACGTGCATGATGTGGTAAGGAAATTGCAAGTCCCAGAGGGAGCTGGAGTGACCCAGGGGAAGGAGCAATTCTGGTTTCTGATTGAGTTTGATATGCTTAAGTGCGTGTCAATTTTTGGCGGGGTTAAAAAAAAAGGCGGGCACAGTTCTAAATTGTAGTCTCAGCCGAGGCCGGGTAATGGCCCCTGTACCTCAATCTGTTTTTGCGTAAGTTCTTGATAAGTTCTTGATATGTTCTCAAATGGGACGCTGGGCCCGGTTCCCAGCACGTGTTGCTCCCCCCGAATAGATTGGATTAAAAAAAAAAAGAAAAAAAAAAAAGGTAAAAAATAAATAAATAAATAAACAAACTAGGGCACTCGGTTGGCTCGAGCCGCAGACGGCTACACAGCAGGTAGTTAGTGGGGAGGTGGGAGGAGAGTGTAAACAGAAGGTAGTTAGTGGGGGGGTGGGAGGAGAGTGTCGCTGTCTGTGGGGGAGTCCAGTGTCACTGGCTCCAACCAGCCGCCTTTGGGCTGGTTATCAGGCCCTTCCCTGTCTAGGCTGTGTATTTGTGTCGCAAATAGAGCCCTTTCTCTTCCCCTCCCCATCCCTACCCCTTTCCCTATCTCGTCTCAGTCTCTCTTCCCCCCCCTCTCCCCTCTCCTACCATTCAGTTCAGTCTCTGTTCATCGGGCTCTTCATCTTCAGCTAGTAGCTTCACCAGTATATTGACCTGTTTATCAGTCTTGTTCAGATGAGAGTGGGGTCCATTTGGTCCCGTTAACAGTGAAACTGGCTAATGCTGCCAGAGGTTCCACTGGGTTGAATTGTGGGGTCCCCGGCCCTGCATCCTGTTCTTTTTTTTTTTTTTTTTTTTTTTTTGTCGGGCTGCTCCGTCTATTGGTGGGGAGCGACACCTGCTGGAAACTGGGTCCAGCGTCCCATTTATACATCATGTAGCACTTAAATTGGTGACTGTGGATTTCCTAGGGCTGTGCACCTTGATCGTCCCGGGGCTCCATTGTCCCATGGAACTGCTAATGTCACCCATCCCCTTGTCGGAGCTCCCCTTGTCCCTATGCCTGGAAACCGGTCCCAGCGTCCCTATACAGTGATGTGTGGTTATCTCGTACTCAGCATCCAATATTGTCTATATGTGTTCGATAGTCAGTATATGTCACACCATGTTGGGAGAAGCCTATACTCCTAATCTACTGTATCTCAATACGAGCTGAGGCATAAAGCCCATCCTATCAATCAGACCTCAAGACAAAATCATTACGATGATTTGATGTGTGTGACCTGGAAATCAGTTCCATCCAGGTGCACTATTAAAAAAAAAAAAAAAAAAAAAAAAAAAAAAAGAAAAGAAAAGAAAAGAAATCTTCAAAAGAAAAACCCCCCTCCCTCCCCCTCCCCCCTCAGCCCTATACTGCCCCCGCCGAGGCGAGCGTCCCGCTCTCCCTCGGCCCCAACGTAGGACCAACCCCCTCCACCCCCGTCCCTGAGGACACGCAGTTCCCTCCTTAAACATGCCCTCGCCACCCCTCACCCGTTTCTGCCTCCACTGAGGACGATGATGACCCCTCCCACCACCCCAGCCCCAGAAACTCCGCTTCTACCCTCTTCGAGACATTCACCCCCCTCCTTGTGAATTCCCTGCAGGATAGCGCTCCCTATCCGCCCCACTCTCCCAATTCTACCCTTCTAAAATAATCGATCCAGCCCTCAGGAATAAGCTCGGAATTGTTTCTTGAAAATGACCCGTTGAGAAGGGCGCAGGGCAACAGTAAAGCTTATTACAATTATTCCCCTTCCCTTTGCGCGCAATGAACAGATGACAACTCCCACCAATTTAAAGAGCAGAAAGTAATTATCGGAAAAAACTATCAGAATTTACGCTATGATAGTAAAATTCAGAAACACTCAGGATTTATTAAAGGATGTAGTCAAGGAACAAAACTGCGAAATTATCATGATGAAATCCTACAGATATGCTAACGATTCAGAATAGATGATGTTAAAGTGAAACTACGACCAAACTAAGATTGTAATTGAAGAGATTGAACTTACCTTGAAAAAACTGCGAATATAACCCCGATCGTAGAGATTGAACTTACCTTGGAAAATAGCTGCGAGTATAACCCCGATCGTAATTATCGAATTGTCATAGAATTTATCAGCAATAACGATTACCCCAACCAAAGTAATTGGACAAGAACAGTAGTTATACATCCATACGAAGATACAGGATCAACTCGTCGGAGCAAAACGTCGTCGAAGTCCCTTCCGGATGCCCGCGCTTGAACGATCTTCCTCCTCCCACTCCACGTGAGAATGCGTTTCTCCCTTCCGCCCGCGACTCCCAACCAACCGCCTCAACACTTCGCAGGAACAGAGAAACAAGGCCTCAACTATGGCCAAAGGCTCATGGAGATCGCCCTTCTTCCAGCGACAGTCTCCCCTTCGCCAGCGTGCCGACTGCGACACCACTTGGACAAAGCACAGAGCCGAAGACAACTTTCCTAATTGGCAAATCTGGAAGAGCACCCAAGCAAAGGCTTACACGTTGATGGCCATTCAAAATACACTCCACGCTCTGAGCGATAGCATCCCCAACCACCATCACCCTCCTGCTTACGTGAGATCGCCCGAACCCACACCAGCAGACATGAAGACGACGAAGCACCGCGGGTACGCGACGAAAACCGCACCAGCAGACATGAAAACAACGAAGCACCACGAGCGCGTGACGGACCGGGCCGATGGCAGGGCGGGAGGGGCGGCGCTCCCGGTCGTGCCGCGCCTCACCAGATTTGTTAGCACTCGAATAATACACAGAAATGAATCCCTTTTTTTTATAAAAAAAAGAACAAAAAAAAGAACCAACTCAGAATGCATTGCCTTCAGATAACTGCGGCCTTCAGGACTGGCGATAACTGCGGCCAGATACATTCTGGAAAAAGCTAGCCGTGAAACTTTGCTTTTCTTTTGGGAAAACTAGGGCGCTGTCACAGTTTGTTGTGTCAAACCTAGGAAAATCATGAATGTATACAACCTAGCTTTAGGGTTGGGTGGGGATGTGTTGTATTCAAGGGATGACGGAAGTGGATTTTAAACTGAAATGGTGACTGCGCCCTAGTGGACCTTTTTTTTCTTTTTGTTCATGTCATTGCTTCAGCGATTGTGCATATCGAAACAGATGCACGGTAGACTGTCTGTGCTTTGTACCATCAGATTGGAATGTCCAATGTGTTTGATGCGGTCTCACCTTCGTTTTTTGGTACTTCTTACACTCCTCTCGCCTTCCCTCCACCATGAGGTTAGGAGGGACAGGATTGACGAAGTTTAGCATTTGCCATGAAGGAGGGAGATGGCGCGGTCTGATACCGGTCTGGAAGGAGCATTTGTCTGACCGTTGAGATCTCCCCCCCCTCGAGTGGTTCGAACTTCGATTTCATAGATTGGATTGATATGATTGATTGATTGGATCCGGTGGATTGACTTCGATCCGGAAAAAAAAAAACCTGTCCGCTTGTCCTTTTTTTTTTTTTTTTTTAATAACAAACCAGGCTGTTGCATACTGTAATGGAAAAACTCTGGGTCTGACCCAGAAATAGGCTGAAACGGAGTAGGGCCTGCAGGCCCTCGTTTTTCAGCTTTCAGGCTGAAACGACCGGGGCCTGTAAGCCCTAAGTTTTAGGCTTTTAGGCTGACTGTCCGGGACGGGCCCTGCAGGGTCCGTGTGGCTACGCAGTATGTCACACTCCCCCCTCCTTGAAGAACCGAGCTTACCTGCGAGGGTGAAGCTGTCTGTCTGAGGGAGGGACCACAGTCCGGGTGGGAGGGGCCGGTCGTGAAGCTTCCTGAGCTAACCTCCGCTTTTCATAATGCGCGTAGATCAGCGGTGCGGATGCTTTCAAATCTGCGCCTGAAATCCACCGAGTGTTGTCGCGATCGCATGCTTTGAATGTGACTTTGTACTGTCGCGGCTTGCTGTCGTACTTGCGATCGGTGATGACGCGGTCAACTTTCTGATGACCATCCATAGAAGGAGGGTCCTGCGATCGTCGGTCCGGAAAGTTGTCGCTCTTGGCTGGCGTGTATGTTGCCAGCTTCGAGGGGTGAAAGACCGGATGGACCGTCAGATGCTCTGGAATGTTGATCACAAATGAAGGGCCATCGGGCTCATCGCCCGCGGCTGCTGTCACAGACCAAGGTCCAAACCACTTGGGAAGCAGTTTGCGTGAAACGTCCTGTTCCACTGCAAACTCTTCCGCGGAGACCCAAACCAGATCATCGGCGCGGATGGGAAATGGTACGCAACGCCTGTTGGCTTGCTGCTGCATGCGGACTTGAGCCTTTTGCATGTTTGCGCGGGCTTGAGTCAGCAATTCCCTGTACTTTCGGACGGAAGCGGGAGAGCAGGCAGCGTCAATGTCGGCTGGTCGAGGGAGGAGAAGGTTGGCGAAGATCCAGCCTTTCCGTCCACCGTGGTGCAACTCGAATGGAGTCACGCCGATCACCGGATGCACCGAAGTGTTGTAGGCGAACTCGATGTCGGGGAGGCGGTCAACCCAATCTTTCTGGTCCGGACGGATGAGCGTACGAAGCATCATTTGAGCGGTTTGATGTGCCCGCTCCGTCTGCCCGTCTGTCTGTGGATGCTGAGCCAAACTTGGTTTCATTGTTGTGCCGGACTCCTGCATGAGAGCAGTCCAAAACGCCGACATGAAACGAGTGTCGCGGTCGCTAACAATGTCTTCTGGTACACCGTGGCCACAAATCCAACCAGTGTGCAGGAGGCGTGCCAGCTCGGGAGTCGTGGAGTAGTACTTGCAAGGGAGAAAACGCGCGTACTTACTCAATCGGTCCACAACCGTGAGGATACCGTCGTGCCCGAGCCGGTCGCGAGGAAACGGACCGGTGACGTCCATGGCAATGGAGAGACCGGGTTCCCGTGGGATAGGCATCGGGTGTAACTTGCAATAGGGATTGCGGTTGCGGGGTTTGCTGCGTCGGCAAACTTCACACGAGTCGCAATACCGAGTGGCATCGGTAATGAGGTCAGGCCATCGGAATCGCTGTCGAAGTCGTGCAATAGTGCGGTTGACTCCGAAATGGGCCAGGCCGGCGAGTCGTGAATCATGATATTCGCCGAGGAGGCGAGTCCGAAGACGACGGTCGCGTGGGACACACAATAAGTCCTTGCCTCTCGAGCGGAGGAGCAAGTATCCGTCGGCAGTGCGATAGTGGCTGGCCGGCGGGTGATCCGAAGATAGCTGTGCGTACAACGTGGCGAAGTCCGGATCAGACTCATATGCCCGGATGAAGTGTCGCTGAAGCTCCTCGCCGAATGCGAAGGCATGATGTGTCATAGCGCAAAGATCTGGTCTTCGCGAGAGTGCATCTACTGTGCGATTTGAGAGGCCGGGTAGATGTTTCGGTGTGAAGTCAAACTGGTCGATGAAGTACATCCATCGTCCGACCGTGCTGCTCACCGTATCCTGCGTCTTGTAGTAGGTCAATGGATTGTTGTTTGTGACCCATGTGAACCTACGACACCCAAGGAGGAAGTGCCGCCATCGCTTGAGAGCCATGACGAACGCGAGTAGCTCCTTCTTCCTTGCATCATCAAGCGAGTTGATGGGAGACACTTTGTGGCTGAAATACTCCACAGTGTGCCAGTCGTCGCCGTCGTGCTGTTCCAAGACTGCCCCAATGCCATAGCCGGAAGCGTCCGTAGTCACTCTCGTCGGCAAGGTGGGGTCATAGATGCTAAGGACGGGTGCCATGAGCATAGCCGACTGCCCTAATGCCATAGCCGGAAGCGTCCGTAGTCACTCTCGTCGGCAAGGTGGGGTCATAGATGCTAAGGACGGGTGCCATGAGCATAGCCGTCTTAAGTGCTTGGAATGACCGGCGTGCGTCGTCATCGAATACGAATGGCACCTTTGGCGACTGTAACCTCGTCATAGGTGCAATAATCCTGGAGTATCCGGTGATGAATCGCTGATAGTAGCCCGCCAATCCCATGAATGAACGAACGTCCGTGGTGTTGGTGGCCTCGGGCCATACTCGTAGGGCCTCGATCTTGTCCGCGAGCGGACGGATGCCTTGCGGCGTCACATAATGGCCCAAGTACTCCAGCTCCTGCCGCGCAAATTCGCACTTGTCGTGGTTGGCTTTGTACTTGGCTTGTCGTAGCCGCTCTAAAACGGTGCGCAGGTGTTCCACATGCTCCTCCAAACTCCGGCTGTATACCAGGATGTCGTCGAGGTAGATGAGTACGTATCGATCCAGCATGTGTCGGAATTCCGTTGTCATAGCCGCTTGGAAAGTGACCGGGGCATTCGTAAGGCCAAATGGCATAACCGGCCATTCGAAATGCCCATATCGCGTCTTAAACGCCGTTTTGTAACGGTCCTCCTTGCGAATCTCGAGTTGGTGATATCCCGACTTGAGATCGAGTTTGGAGAAGAACTTGGCGCCGCCTAGTCGCTCGAGAAGATCGTCTATGCGTGGGAGAGGGCCGACATTTCTGATCGTCTGCGCGTTGAGCTTGCGATAATCGATGCACAACCGCAAATCCTTGTTCTTCTTCCAGACGAAGAGAACAGGAGCACCGTATGGCAATGAGCTAGGCCGAATCCAGCCTTTCTCCAGAAGGTCGTCGAGTTGTGCCCGAAGGACACTTAACTCTTCCTCGTTCATGTGCCAGATGCAACCGCGCGGAGGTACGGCCCCGTCCTCGAGGATGATCTCGTGGCGGATGGGCCGATCTGGTACTACTCCGTGCGGGCCTTCGAACACGTCGCTGTAGGCGTCGAGAAGYTCGGTGATGCGTGGATCCGAAGGTGAGTCCGTCGATGAAGCGTCATAGGGCGGGAGGGCGTGGAGAAAACATACCCCCATTTCCTCGATGTCGTCTCTGATGATGGAAGCTCGCATGCTTGAGGCAGATACCACGTGGCAGCTGATCAAAGGGTGAGGAAGAGGCATCGTGCATGGAACTAATACTCCGTTCCGGGCACGAACGTGAACGGTGCGGTTGAAGAAGTTCACCGGGTGATCCTTGCTTCGCAGCCATGACATGCCCAAGATCATGTCGAATTTGGTGTCCAGAATGTCAAAGGACACCGCCTCACTTGCGTGAGGGGCAAAGTACACTGGGACGCTGTCAATGCACCGGTCGATTGACTTGTGCGTGTGACCGTCCACCAATGTGACTTGCGTAGGCTGGGGCTTCCTCCGGACGCATGGGCCAAGGCCGGCGCGCACCATGAAGTCCTGGCTGATGTAGTTGCGAGATGCTCCGCAATCGATCAAAGCGTTGCAGGTCGCTTCTCCGATGTGAATGCGTACATATAGCAATGGTGCATCGATGTCGTTGTCTGTGTATCTTTTGAATGTCGAACGAGCGGAATTCAACGCCCGTTCATCCGTTCAACGGGCCCCTAGACCCCCGTTGAATCGCGTTTAACACGAAAACGGGGGCGTCGCGTCGAATTTCGAAAAACGGAATTCGACCGTTGGGCCTCGAACAAGTAGATTTATGGGCCAAAACACTAAAAACAGTAAAAAAAATAAAAAAAAGTTGACCCCTATCAACAGGGTGGGGTAGCCAAGCTTGCCCATCCCTTTCGAAAATCGAACTCCAAACGAACCCATTCAGTTTTTTTTTTTTTTTTTTTTTTTTTAAGCATAGGGTCAGAGTTAGCCCCCCCGACGGTCGACAGCTCCTTCCTGCTTGGCTGCCAAGAGAGAGAGAGAAAGCAAGCAAATAGCCCTGTGCCTGATATCACAGAAACCCTTGCGGGTAATCTGAGAGGCCCTGCAAATTATTAGCAAGGGCCCTCTCGCTGTGAAAGAGGCACCTCTCAAACATGTTGCAAGGCAGGAGCAGGCGTACTGTATATGGTGTAGATTCACATTAAGTCCGTGTTTCAGCAGTTATGGGACCACTGGGCAGTAGCAGGCCAACTCACCGCGTGATTTTCAGGGCTTCCCTCCACTACTCACCAAAAAACAAAAGAAAGAAAGAAAAAAGAAAGTGCAAAACTCGAATGAATCTTCTCTGAGAGCATGGAATCATACGCTGCCATATGTTTTGTCTTTTCTGCAGGTGCTGACGAGTGGAGCTAGGCCCTTAGGGCCACTGCTCGTAACACAACGAAAACAAAAGAAAGAAAAAAAAAAAAAAGTGCAAAACTCAAATGAATCTTCTGCTAGAACATGGAACCATACGCTGCCATATGTTTTGTCTTTTGTGCAAGTGCTGACAAGTGGAACTAGGCCCTTAGGGCCACTGCTCGTAGCAAAAGGAAAACAAAAGAA